CTGGGCCCGGGTTTGCTGGGCCCGGGTTTGCTGGGCCCGGGTTTGCTACCTCAGCATTTGCAGTGCAGCTCCTGGTGCTGCTCTGGGCCTCGCTCTGACCTCGTGCTGTTCCAGGTGCTCTTGTGCTACTTGAAGTTAGTGCTCCCCTGCCTCTCTCCTGCCTCTAACATTCCTCATCTGCTGCCTTCCCAGCAGAACTTACACGGGGAGGCAGGGGAGGAGTTTGCAGTTTAGCTGTTTCTGCTTTCATCTGCTTTGCAGCATATTCTGCTACTTGTGGACACCACAAACCAGGTCCTCAGCAGCATGTGGGGCCAGATTCCACTGCATAACAACTGCATCATCTCTGAAGAGATTCAACTGTTTCTTTGCTCTCTTTGTGCACCCCAGTCCTGCCTGGCACAAATCCCACAATCACAGGATGGGTCAGGCTGGAAGGGAGCACAGTGGCTCATCTGGTCCCACCTCCCTGCTCGGGCAGGGCAATTCCAGAGCACATGGCACAGGATTGTGTCCAGATGGTTCTGGAATATCCCCAGTGAGGAGACTCCACACCCTCTCTGCTCTCTTCAGAGCTGAGTCACTGCCCAGCAGAGAAATTCTTCCTCATGCCCAGGTGGAACTTCCTGGGCATCAGTTCCTGCCCGTTCCTGCTGTGCCATTGCTGGGCCCCCTTGAGCAGAGCCTGCTCCAACCTCTGCCCCCTCCCTGCCTCCAAATTACATGTACAAAATTTTCTGAAGAAAAAAATGTAACTTTAATGGTAAAAGCGATAGGATTTTTTTCGTGGATGAAAAAAAAATAATTTCCATAAAGTGTGCGATTCATCAGGAGAAGCTGGACTGCCAGGTTAGATGTTAAAGAACTCTTTATTACCTTTGAGAGGAAAAGTTCTTTGATGAGTCTTATTGTTTGTAGCATATGGAAGAATGCTGCAAGAGGAAATGGGTCTGCTCTTATCCTAAAATAAATTCCTTTGTAAACCTGTCATTACCTTAAAATTGTGTGCTGTGAGATGCTGAACAGTTCTGTAGCATTCATAGAACTACCAGGGAGTTTGTAGCTTACAAAGTTAAACTGACATGTTTGCATTGCTCTAATTAATTGTTTAAATTCATCTTTCAGTGCCCAGTGTGGGAGAACTTTTACCTTGTCTAATTACATCTCAGGCTTGTAACCTTTACATTTATGCTAACAAGGAGTATTTTTTCCTTCAGGATATTTGATGAGTACAGGCCAACAAAGCACCACCCTCATTGGTAGCAGACACCAACATGATTCTGGACAGTTAAGAACAAATTTGCTGTACCTCTGTAATTATTCAAATTGGTATTTTGAATTTGCAGCTGCTACAACTTTGCATGTTTCCAAGTAAATTCAGTGGAGAAGTGCTGAAAGATGCCAGATTTTCAACTGTGAGCTGTTGGGCTTTTAGCACAGGGGAAAAAGTAAGCAGAGTGAGACTGGGGTTCATTGAATACCTCAGAATCTGAGGAGTTAAACTTCAGAGGAGGTTGAATATCACTATTTCTATACCCTTTAAATCATCTGTCTGGGACGGCTGCACCCTAATCATAACTGTCCCTCTGTATTTAATAGCAGTCAGGCTGTTCCAAAATGCAAGTGGAATAGTTTGCCTTTAGATTAAGGAGAGGTCCTTTCATGAGCTATTTATTTTAGTTCTGAAAATTCAGTTTCTTGTTCTGCTTCTGAAAAGTTGGAAACGCTTTGCTTTACCTTCGTAACCTGTGTTTAAGAACAAAGAAATTAAACGTGCCACAGGGTAGCAGAGTGGGTTGGAGATGCCTATCTGGGTAATACCAATAAAAAATTTACTCCAAATCCTGCTTTTCAGGTTATTTGAAGAATATATATCCTGCTGTGAGGGTATATGTCTGCGTGTGTATACACACACATATGTTATATATACAAGTAAACGCCTAGCTAGCTATGTTTTAGGAGTAAGAATTTTCAGCATTTGTGAAAGGAAAACCTGTGGTTGCTGTGAACATCCATACACAGATCCCTTAGTTTAAAAGATGTATGAAAATGTAGAAAATGTAAGATAATTTTCAGATACTCCTTCCCAAAGCTGCTTCTATTATATTCAGTCTGAAAGTCATCTGAGAGGTAGATTGAAAATACTTCTGACTTGATGGCAGCAGCAAGTATAATTGTGGTTCATGAAACTGGCTGAAGCTGGAGGAAATCAAGTTGCTCTGGTCTACAACAATGGCAGTTTGTTTTTGGGAGATGCCAGCAAGGACTTTTGGGGGAGCTGACAGACATTTCATTTCTAAGTTACAGAGTGCAACCTAAACCAGGCCACATGCTGTAAAAAAGCCTCGCCACTGAATGGAGGCCAGTGGAGAGCAAAAATAGGAGTGTGAGTTGAGTTTTTAGAGTGAACCATCACAGAGCTGAGCATTTTCACGTACATGTGGCTATCCCATGAGTGTTGCCAAAAAATACAGCATAATGTCACATCAGTAGTGGTTGGCTTCCTTTGGAAAGCTCCCTTCAGGCACTGCCTGAAGTAGCTGGATGTGACCTATTTGGTTCTGTATTTTCACAAGCATATGTGAAATCATGTTATTGAGCGGATATGGATCTGTAAAGGACCCAGGGTACTGATGGGAGCAGCAATGAACTCCTCATGCCCAGTCAAGTTTTGCCCACCTGGAGGATCTCTGGGGTCCCTTCCAACCCAGGCTGTTATGTGATTCTGTGGAATTTCCCTTCTCCTTGTCACTTTGCCACTTGCTTTGCTGCACAAGTGAGTTTGAAATAAGTAAGTTTAAAGTCTGTCTGGGCCAAAGTGAAGTATATTCTTTGGTAGAGGGCTTCAATTTTGCATTATTTCTGGTTGCTGCTGTTACCCTTATCCTTGGATGACACAGAGCACTACCAGCATCTTACTTTCTGTCAGCCAGTACTGAGTGTGTCCCTGTGACTTGAACAACCACGGCAGACAGCAAGTTTTTAGTTGGTCAGCAGTGGAGGGAGGGGACTTTTCAGCACAGGTTAGGAGCATAAATCTGTTTGCTCATAGTGCCAAAGGTGAAGCAAAGTATTAGTTGAGTGGAAACCAACTCTGTCTGTTCTCACTGGCACAGGTTGCCCGGAGAAGCTGTGGCTGCCCCAGCC